GGAATCTTTATGTTTTATCTGGTGGAGTCTGTTCCTATCCCGGTCACTTTTCTCCAGAATTAACTCAGTTCCTCCTTCCGTTATATATTCAAGATGGACAGTATTTAATATTTATTTGTTAGGTATATGTAGGGGTGTGGGTCTATACCAGGGGTAGTCAACCTTGGCTCTTTTATGACTCGTGGACTTCAACTCCCAGAATTAATAATAATAATAATAATAATAATTTAATTTGTACCCCGCCCTTCTCCTCACCGGACTCAGGGCGGCTAACAGCCTTATAAAACCACAGCTGGCTCAGGAATTCTGGGAGTTGAAGTCCACGAGTCATAAAAGAGCCAAGGTTGACTACCCCTGGTCTATACCTATGTTGTATATAGTATGTTTAGGTGTGTGCCATGTATGTGTTTCACTTTGAGAGCGGGCAAGTAAATTTCATTTTTGATGTGTGCCGTTGTGCCCACAGTAAAAAAAAATGACAATAAAGGTTATCTTATCTGATCTTATCTTATCTTATCTTAATCTTCCTTCAGTAGGAAAGTCCACCATATTCCAGGGTTGACCATATTGGTTCAGAATCGGGAGGGAAAGAGATCTATATAGAACATTCTAGTAGGACTGGAAGGGACCTTGGAGGTCTTCTAGTCCAGCCCTCTGCTCAAGCAGGAGACCCCTCTACTATTCTGGATAAACGGCCGTCCAGTCTCTTCTTAAAACCCACCGGTGATGGAGCACCCACAACTGCTGAAGGTCTTCTAGTCAAACCTCCTGTTCAAGGCAGGAGATCCTATATCATCCCAGTCAAATGGCTGTCTAATCTCTTCTTGAGAACTTCCAGGGATGGAGCATCCACAGCTTCTAGAGGCAAGCTGTTCCACCGATTGTTCTCACTGTCAGGAAGTTTCTCCTTAGTTCTGGGTGGGATCCCTCTTTGATAAGTTTCCATCTGTTACTTCTTCTCCTGTCCTCAGATGCTTTAGAGAAGAGGTCAAACTCCCGCCCCCTTCTCTGTGACAGCCCCTCAAGTACTGGAAGACAGCTTTCAGATCACCCCTATTTCTTCTCTTCCTTAGTCATGCCAGCCATGGTCTACATCCCATTGTCTATTTTCATTTCTTAAGATCTATTCTGGCCAAACACCAGAGGTCAGGGTTGGCAAGAACAAGCAAGGCATACAGAAACACACACACACACAGCAAAAATGAATGGAATTATATCCAATCTAAAGTTTTCAAGTAACTTTATGCAGTCTTTTGGGCATGGACCCAAAAAAATAATAGGGAAACATCTGAAGAGGGGGAAAAAATCCTGAATATTTTTCCCCCTCCAAAGCTCTCATGATTCTCTCTTTGTTAAAAGAGAAACGTAATCAAAACAAGGTTTTAGTCCTCTCTCTTTTAAAGAAAAGCTTCTGAACGATCATTTATTATCCCGAGAATAGGGGGGGGGGAAACACATAACAGGAAACCCCTTCCCCCTTTGTTACACTTTGAAGAGTCAGCAGCAGCTGGACTGCAAAGCTAATTTTTCATATATATATATATATTTGCAGAACAGGGAAGGGATCAAAAACGCAAGTTTTGCCAAGAAACCTATTTCGTAAACATAAAAACCAAAAGCTGACACGTCCGTTCCTAAGCTGCACTTTTATTAATCAAGGATGCCGTAGTTTTCATCAAACTAGAGGAAATAGGAACATAAAAGAAACCCCAAACACTGGATATGATCTAGTCCGGCTAAAATGGCAATCGCAATTTTTTTTTTTTTATTATCTTGGAGAGACTTGAAAGAGCAGGTTTAAGAAACAAGGCAGCTGGGGGGAGGCTAGGCTGTGAGACTGGCATTCTTTAAACTTACTTGATTCCAAGAGCGAAGCCTTGAATAACTTCGCCAGCGTTTGGGCCAATGAAATGAAGACCCAGGATCCGCTGATCTTTTTCACGCAGGCACACCATCTGCGAAGGATTCACAAAGAACAGGGAGTTTGCAACTAGTCAGGATTAGAGAGGATGGGATAGAATATAGAATAGAATAGAATAGAATAGAATCTTTATTGAGAATAGAATAGAATAGAATCTTTACTGAGAATAGAATAGAATCTTTGTTGAGAATAGAATACAATAGAATCGAGTCTTTGAGAATAGAATAGAATCTTTACTGAGAATATAATAGAATAGAATAGAATAGAATCTTTATTGAGAATAGAATACAATAGAATAGAATCTTTGAGAATAGAATAGAATCTTTACTGAGAATAGAATAGAATTTTTATTGAGAATAGAATAGAATCTTTATTGAGAATAGAATACAATAGAATAGAATCTTTGAGAATAGAATAGAATCTCTACTGAGAATAGAATAGAATTTTTATTGAGAATAGAATAGAATCTTTATTGAGAATAGAATAGAATATTTGAGAATAGAATAGAATCTTTACTGAGAATAGAATAGAATCTTTATTGAGAATAGAATAGAATCTTTATTGAGAATAGAATAGAATAGAATAGAATAGAATCTTTACTGAGAATAGAATAGAATAGAATAGAATAGAATTTTTATTGAGAATAGAATAGAATTTTATTGAGAATAGAATACAATAGAATAGAATCTCTACTGAGAATAGAATAGAATTTTTATTGAGAATAGAATCTTTATTGAGAATAGAATAGAATAGAATCTTTCTGAGAATAGAATAGAATCTTTATTGAGAATAGAATAGAATCTTTATTGAGAATAGAATAGAATAGAATAGAATAGAATAGAATAGAATAACAGATTGGAATGGAATGGAGTAGAATAGAATAGAATAGAATAGAATAGAATAGAATAGAATAGAATAGAATGTACAATAAGAATGGAATGGAATGGAATAGGCTAAGCTAGGCTAGGCCAGGCCAGGCCAGAAACAGAACAGAACAAGAATCTTCAAAATCTTGTGCAAGGAATTTGCACAAGATATTTTTTTTCCTTGGGGAGGATGGAAGATGGAAAGGTCAGGAAAAAAGCAAAAACAAAAGCGTTTTATGTTGTTGATGTTTTTTTTATTTTAAAAAAGCCCTTGTATGAACCCCCAAGGGTTTCTGATAGAGATTGTAAGCCCCTTGAGACATTTAGGAAGGCCAACTTACTTTTATGTAGCACTGAGTAGCATCTCTTTCGGCCACAACAAACTCCAAGGGTTTATAAAATGCGTGGTACACCTGAAAGAGAGTTGTTATTCCATCACAAAGGCTAAAATTACTTGCATTGAGACTGGGAATAATAACAGAGACTTGCAAATCTGAATTGGTCTCTCCCTCCCTCTCCTACCCCTCTCTCTCTCTCCTTTTCTCCCTCCCTCGCTCCTCTCTCTCTCTTTCTCTCTCTCTCCTCCTCTCTCTCTTGTTCTCCCTTATTCCACCATTTTGCTTGCGATAAGCCCATTCTCAAAAGTGCCAAACCCTGAGGTCCTCTTTCCTGGATCTTACCTAACCAGCTTCTAAAATTGCGGTTCATCTCAAAGGCTGAAAAGCACAAAGTAGGACGCGCCACCATAAACGGGTTACATCGTTCTGATGACCAGAAAACTGGATGAGGGCCTACCTCTATGTTATCTGGACCATATCGGTGGACAGCTGCTTCTTCTGAAATGCCAACGCTACCATACTCTAGAGGGGTGAACACCGTTGTAGGCACCTACAGGTAGAAGGTGAAGCCATAATATTAGTCGCTAACCAGAGACATCGGGTCTGAAGGACCTGCTATTTCCAGATACAGGAGGTCCTTGACTTTCGACTACAACTGAGCCTGCCAAACAAGACAGTTGTTAAGACAATGTTGTCCCATTTCACGACCTTTCTTGTCACAGCTGTTAAGTGAAACACTGCTGCTGTTAAATTAGCCACACGTTTGCTAAGTGAATCTGGCTTCCCCCGTTGATTTTGCTTGTCAGAAGGTCCCCCAAGGGGATCACACGATCCCTGGGGGGACACCGCAACAATCATAAACATGACTCATTATCTGATTCAAGTATCTGAATACTGATCACGTGACCCTGGGGATGTTGCAACGGTCGTTAAGCGTGAAAAACGGGTCCTAAGTCACTTTTTCCGGTGCTGTTGTAACTTCACACAGTCACTAAATGAACTTTTGTGAGTCAAGGTCTACCTTTATTTCCTTAGGGATCCTTTTTAATAATAAAATTAATTCTCCCTCCCCCTCCCCCCCCAAAAAATGAAGTGAATGCTTCGGAGTAAAGAATAAATCTCTTGCTTCATGTCTATTTTCAGGAAGGCCTCAACTACAATAGAGTGAAGATCTAGTCAAGATGGGTTGGTGAATGACAAAAGCGGTAGCGTACGAAGAAAATTGATATAAAATGTTTTAGAGATGGCATCTAACACCCGTGAGGTTAGCAAAAATGTTTAAAAATATATCAAGCCATTGTTGAAAATGTAAACAAAAACCAGGCACTTATTACCCTCTTTGATGGACATGCTCTAAAGCTAAAAGATTCTAGTTAAGAATACATACATGGTTAGAGAAAATGACTAAAAAAACATATAGAATTTAAGCCAGAATTAGTTTTGTTAGGCATAATTGTAGGAAACTATGAGAAAGAGTGTACAGATTTAATTTTACATGTATTAACAGCAGCAAGAATCATATTCGCTCAACATTGGAAAAATGAAGATTTACCAACGGAGGAAGAGTTAATTAAAAAAACCTTAAGAGTGTGCAGAAATGAATAGATTGACATTGAAAATGAAAGAGAAAGAAGATTCAGTTTATTTTAGAACATGGGACACCTTTTATCACTGGCTAGAAAAACGAGGTAGAGAAAAAGGAACTTAATATGTATTAGCAAGCTAGGGGTTGGCATCCAGACAATACGTTGCGGATAAAATATTAAGCACTTGCGATTATAAAAAACTAATAAAATATATATATTTAAAAAAAAGATGGGCTGGTGAAGATCGTGCCCACCACAGCTGCCACTGTGTCAACAAAGTGAACCTTACTCACATTGTCGTAATCCATGAGTTCGGCAGAGAGGCCAAACAACCGCCGAGCCAACAATTTCCCCGAAGCGATTGCGGTGGGCGTTAATTCAGGACGGCCCTTTAAAATGAGAACGTTAGAAGAGATTTTTACAAGATTTCTTTAAAAGAAGCAGTGGGGACGAACCAAGAAAGTTTCCCCAACCATTCCGGTTAACTATTCAGCATCTTAGAATAGTTTCTAAATTCATTTCCCATGGTCCTTTTTTTTAAAAAAAGAAAACAAAACGAAAAACTGTCCCTACAGAAGGAAGGCGAAAAAGGATGGCCCTGGGTCTGCCTTGGCCTTAGGCTAAATACTGCAATGTGGGTTTCTCTGGGCCACATATGCCTGTGTATGTGGGTATATGCATAATTATTTTATTTTATTGGGCATGTTTATGCAGTGTATATTGGGAGGTGGTTACCCTTTGAGAGCTGTATGCAGTGAAATCTCATTTTAATGTATGCTGATTAGTGTACATTTAAAGTGACAATAAGGTTGTTCTGTTCTATTCTATTCTATTCTATTCTTCATCTATTCTATTCTTCATCTATTCTATTCTTCATCTATTCTATTCTATTCTATTCTATTCTTCATCTGTTCTATTCTATTCTATTCTATTCTATTCTTCATCTGTTCTATTCTATTCTATTCTATTCTATTCTATTCTATTCTATTCTATTCTATTCACATGATAGCAGTATTCCAATATCTCAGGGGCTGCCCCTAAGAAGAGGGAGTCAAGCTATTCTTCAAAGCGCCTGAAGGCAGGACAAGAAGCGACGGATGGAAACTCATCAAGGAGAGAAGCAACCTAGAACTAAGGAGAAACTTCCTGACAGTGAGAACAATTAACCAGTGGAACCACCTGCCTCCAGAAGCGGTGAATGCGCCAACACTGGAAGTTTTTAAGAAGAGACTGGACAGCCATTTGTCCGAAATGGTATAGGGTTTCCTGCCTGAGCAGGGGGTTGGACTAGAAGACCTCCAAGGTACCTTCCAACATCATCATCATCATCATCATCATCATCATCATCATCATCATCATCATCATCATCATCATCATTATTCTATTCTATTCTATTCTATTCTATTCTATTCTATTCTATTCTATTCTATTCTACATTATTCTATTCCATTCTGTTCTACTCTATTCTTCATTATTCTATTTTTCATTATTCTATTCTGTTCTGTTCTATCCATGTCGTATGTCAGGGAGTATCTCACAGGCCTTGTTATGATCGCTCCTGCCTGTGGATTAAATAAGTTTTAACAGAAGAGAAGATAGATGAGAAGCTCGGGGCCGAGCAGTGGGGTCCCTGCTGCTCTCTCTGGCAGTGGGTTTCCTGTGGCATCTGAAGCGTTTATACCTCAGTGATGTCCCCAATTGCAAAAACATGGCGGATCGAAGTGGCTTCTGCTGCATCGACAAGGATTTTGCCTGTTTCCGGATTGGTTTCCACTCCCACACGACACAGATTGAGGGCTGCAGTGTCTGGCGCTCGGCCTTTAGGGAAGAGGAAGCAGAAAGGAGAGGAAAGGAAAAGAGGAAGGGGACGGAGGAGGAGGACAAGGAGGAGGAGGAGGGAAAGAGGAGGAGGAGCAGAGGAGGAGGACGAGAAGGAGAAGGAGAGAAGGAGGAGAAGGAAGAGGAAGGAAAGAGGTGGAGAAGGAGAAAGAGAAGGAGGAGGGAAAGAGGAGCAGAGGAGGAGGAGGAAGAGAAGGAGGAAGAGAGAAAGAGGAGGAGGAGGAGGGGAAGGAGAGAAATGGTAGGAGGAAGAGGAGGAAGAGAGAAAGAGGAGGAGGGGGAGGGAAAGAGGAGAAGGAGGACGAGGAGGGAAAGAGGAGGAGGAG